CACACACACACACCTCCATCCTGCACAATGACTCAGCTTTTCTTTTGGTTATTGTTTATTTGTACTGCAGAGGAGCCTCACCCACTTTCTTTTCCTGGTTTCTTGTATACAAAAGAAGGGCGCGGCAGTGTTTGGCTCCAAGTATCTAACATTTATGTTGCCTTTTAATTCACTTTTCATGTGTGCCTGATGATAGCCTCTGGATGGATGAAGACTGCATTAAACCAAGCAAACCTCATAGACAGTATATATTCAATAAATAAAAAGTAGTAAAAGTAGTCTGTCAAGTGAGACTAATGTTATTAMGATACACACATATATATGTCTTTAACATGTTTAACACGAATAATTACCAACTGATAATTTCCATAATTTGCTCCATAATTGGGACTAGGTTCGGAGAAATGGGCGGAGTGATACAACGTAGCTGGAGTGGTGCGACGTGAACGTCTAACGCTGGTGGTGTTGTGCCGCGTTTAAAATGGACTTTAAAAGCTGATTTTCGCCATGTCAACTTAACTTAAGATTTAACGAAACAATCAGTGACTTTTTATTTGTGCATTTAATCGTTGCATCGTCGTGTAGATTAAACCAAAAGTGTGACTCCGCGCGCTCAGAACATGATGTTACTGTTTTTGGCTGTTTTTGTTGTTTCCTGTGGTGAGTACGACTCAACTACACAAAACTAATGATGCATAGGGGAGCTTTATTGGAGATATTAATCCTATCTGCTTTTAAGCTATAAACTGAGAACATTGTGTTTCTTTCACTTGTTTGGACACTTGGAGTCTCCATCTAGTGGTGAGATCSATACAATACGTTATTCTGAGGAAAAACATAACGATTTAATTATCTTACACCGGAAATAAGTTGTAATTGTACACACACAGCAGAACTTTCTGTTGTTTATTATACTTTTTTATTCACATCTATCTACCTTTATAGTTTGATTTTCCTTAATAGTGTCCATTATAAGATGTGTTTTGTGTGTATATCTGCTTTGCCCCTATTGAAAAGGGACTCTGCCATGTCTATATAATGATGATCATCTTATATAATTAGTACAATTTAAGTTCTTTATAGGAACTGAGTTATAGTTGAGACATAAGTTACTGAATGGGATGGGATCCAAAACTATATATTTTCTTTGTTATTGTAGTGATTAACTAATGTGGGAAAGTAACTATGAAATAATAAACATGAGTTATAATCATTGAATTGTTTGTGGTGCATTAAGAGCCTTATTTTGTGTATTACTTATTCAAAACAATGCCTGTAAATACCCTGCCC